TTGTGGAGGTCGGTGAGGTTGTGGAGGTCGGTGAGGTTGTGGAGGTCTGTGAGGTTGTGGAGGTCTGTGAGGTTGTGGAGGTCGGTGAGGTTGTGGAGGGCTATGCCAGCAGTTTTGCTGCACATCCTGACAATCCCCGAGTCTGTTCCTGTTTTTGCAACAGATGAAGGTGAAGAAACTCGATAAAATATTCTCAAAGTAGAATCTACGTTAAAACCAGAGCTTCTGATAAAAATACATTCTCTGGTGGGCCTCCTTACGAAGTGAGTTCACATGGGGGGGGTCAAAGTTCAGTTTGTCATCGAGAACAGTTCCCAGATATCTGTGCTGTTGCTCCGCCTCGACAGCCTCACCGTTAATGACCACAGGAGTGGGTCAGACCTTGAGTAAAACATCTGTCAAGTGATTTGTAGGTGGGGGTTGAATATTTGAATACAAATCAAAATACAGGACAACCTCAAAGTTGTATTCTTAAACTGCACGTCCATACCTAGACGAGATCTGCAGGACGTGGTTACACGGCTTGCTCGTCGTAAACGCTCAAATCGAGTCGTCGTGAAAATATTTCTTCAACTTTTACTCTTCAGCTCGTCGCGGCTCAACGATGCCGCTTTTTACTCTTCAGATTTTATCCGTTTGTTTGTGGTCTCGGTGTAAACGTGACTCTGTTGAACGTTGGGCCCACAAACGTCTCGTGCGACCTTCAGGTTGACTTTGACGTCGCGTTTTCTCTGTTTCAGGATTTGGAAGATGTGGACTCTGACATGGAGGACGGACACGACGACGATGACGGGCACGACGAGTTGTAGAAAGCAGAACGAAAGAGGACCCCCACCCCACCCCACCCCAACCTTTCAGTCCCCATCACCACCCTCACCCCCGCCCTGTGAACATTAACCTCTGAACTGCCTCTCAGTCACAAACTGGCCTTTAAACCAGCCGGTCGGTCCATTGGTGGCTGGTTGAGCCGTTTCTCCACCAGCTGCATCTTCATCCTCAGTTTCTGGTCAGACTGGTCTTGTCCCTCCTGGGAGGGGGAGGGGAGTATTTGGAACAGCGCACCACCTCTGTTGGACACCAGCAAGGCTCCATATCAGCTGTTTGCCTTCCACTTCAGACCAAACGTTTATTTCTTGTTTTGAAATGTTTAATTTCCACATTTGCTCTCCTTCTAACCTGCAGATGGGGGGGGGGGGGTGTCTGCCAGTGTTCTTCTCCCTCCTTAAAGGTGGGGGAGAAAATAAAACGGACCAGTGATGATGATGTTTAAGGACCGATCTCAGGGGACAAGGGGCCGTTCTGTAATTTTATTTCAATGTCGTCTTCATTAAAATAACCCCCCCCAGTTTATTCATCGTGGCACAGAGCCCCACTCCCCACATTTATCTTTTGGCAAGACCAGTTATCTTTATTTTTATCAACGGGGGGGGGGGGGGGTCCATTTACTCCATTTTTATTTCCGTTCCCAAACGATTCTGTTCTCACTTCAGCTACTGACTCGTTTTTCTGAAACCTTCGAGTAAAATCGTGTTTTTATTTAATGTCACGTCGGTCGTCGTCAGATTTGCCTTTTTGTTTTTTTTTATTGTACCGTCGTGCCCAGCTGTCGGGGCAGAGTTGGAGACGCGCACTCGGACCTGGGTGGTGTCTGGAGCCGGTTCTGACGGGTCGCACTGCGTTCATGCCTGATCAGAGATTCACTGTGGTTTAGTAAAGACGGATTCGGTTGGGGAGAAGCGGGGAGGGAACGGTTGCACAGCCCCACCCCTCACCCGTCCCTTTTGGCTCTTCCCAGCACCCTTAGTTGCCACTTTTTGTGTGTGTGTGTGCGTGTGTGTGTTTGACTCGCAAGAGTGTTGTGCTGGCAAAAAAGGGGGGCTGTGATTAGAGCAAGGTGTCGGTCCATCAGTGGTGGGGGGGGAACTAACAAAACATTCCATCATTGTTCAAATTAATGTGGAAAATGTAAAATGGTGGCCAATAAAAAAAGAAAAATCATTTTTTTGTTCAGTTTCTTTTGTTGAATCCTGGAGGACACTTAAGTTAAAAAAAAAAAAAAAAAAAAACTTGATGTTTGAATTTAACAAACTCTTAACTTTTAAATCTAATGACTTTATAATTACACTTCCACTGTTGTTCTGCTCAGTTCAGGCGTTGGTGATCCGGGTCACCAAGAGTCCATGCAGACTGCAATGAAGTAAAAACAATAATTTACCTATAGATTCTATTTAATGATCCCAATAACAAATGGCATTTCTCTTATTCTCATTAATTTTTTTTCTAAAGGGTGTTTTCAGAAATTATCCTTTTTTGGATTACCAGTGTGTAGTACCAGGAAATCCCTTTGCTAAGTTTTGATGCCCCCCCCCCCCCCCTTAAATAAATGAAGCTTGATGTCCCTCCAGTCGAACTTAAAAATTGGGTTTTCTAACCGGCGAGCTTGTAACCAAAACTAGTTTCCAGGTGAAAGTGAAATTTCAGTTTTAATCTTTTTAATGTTTGATCTGCGTTTAGAAAAGTTCTATAAATGACGATTTAAGACGGCTCAAACGTTTGACATCAACTCTTAAGTTGGTGGAAAAATCTCTGAAACTTCTGCAGTGAAGTCTGAGCTGTAGCGCTGCGAAGGGGGGCCAGGTTTCTTCGTTTCAGTAAAACCCAATGGGCGTCTTTGTCCCTCTTGTACAGCTCTGCACTACAAAAAGTCGTGGTGCCGTTTGAACACCAGATTTGCAGAATAATCAATCAACCTACCTTTTATTTAGACGGGTAAATCCCATTGAGCCTCGAGGACTCATTTACAAGAGAGACCTGATAAATAAAGTTGTGGAAATGGGAGTACTGAATGTGCTTCAGTGTTCGTGCGTCGACACCGTCGGTGACTTGAATCAAATTTCTTCATGTTGGCACCTTTTGGTTCTACGGAGGAAGCCGCCTTCAGTAAACCAGGCTGCCGCCCACGGCACCGTGTACCCAGACGTCTCTACTTGCAGGCGGTGGGCCGTTGAACCCGTTCAACTCATCAGGACTGAGCCTGACCGAGCCCTAACGGGAGAGGCCCGGTCACCAGGCGCTCGCCAGGGAGCCCCTCACGCAGGTCTGGGGTCCTGGTAAGCCATGGCTGCGAGGGACTTCAAAATCCTTTGCCTCTGCTGGTCTGTGGTGAAGAGAGCTGAGCTGCAAGAAGCTCTCAGCTTACCTGTCTACATGACTACCATCACGTCTGGTCGTGAACGTCTGGGTAGTGACGTGGATACAAGCGGTCTAATGAGTTTTCTCTGCAGGGTAGTTGGACTCTGATCAGGCGAGTTGCTGCTCCACATCCAGAGGAGCCAGTTGAGGAGGTTCAAGCATCTGATAACGATTCCCTGTGGGGATGTGAGGGTGAGCTGACTGCAACATCCATCTCCCCTATTGAGGGTTGATTCGGATGATCTGGCTGGCTAGGCGGGTGTCCCCTTCCTCCTCAATGTGTCCCCCACGAAGCTCTGCGCTCTTTGGCAGCGGCAGGACGACCATCCTTCGTTGTACCGGTAGCTGAGCTCCTCTGCAAGAAACTCCAAGCTCAAGGATGCCCTGTGGACGCTTCTACAGGGAGGTGTTCCAAGACCCTAAACTGTTTGTCTCTCAGCTGGTCTGGGGACACCCTGGGAGTCCTCCCAGAAGAGCTGGCTGTGAAGAGATGTCTGGAGACCAGAACAAGAGGCGGGTGATGGATGGAGGACCCGTGGAGTTTTTATTGTACCACCAGTGGTATTTGTGCCACATTTGGAGAACCATGGCTCTAGACGAGTAAAATGTTTCGTATAAACAATTTTTGCTCGAATACTGAATGAAACTCTGGATCACAAAATACATTTTATAGCAAAAAAATAGTCCAATTATAAATTATGGTTAAACTTTGATTAGGTGGGGTGATGCAAATCTGAGTAACTTCACCGTCACCAGCCTCCGCTCTTCACATGACTGTTCCATGTTTATCAGTTAAGTCATGGTACCCCCCCCCCCCCCCCCCCCAAGTAAACCACACTCATCCAGTGTGGTGTTTACCAGAAGCCTCCAGCCTCCTCCCAGCTGTAGGGATGTCACCAACAAGTGGACAACATCTCAACACGAGCTGTTGACACAGAGACCGGAGGTCAGTGGACGTCGTGTTTGGAAAGGTGAGCTGCTTTACCGCCTCACGGCTCGTGAGCCATGAGTGGGTGGACTCTGGCCTACTGAGTGCCTTCTCATCTTCTGAGACTTGTCATTGGACCTGTGGAGTCCTAAAATAGGACAGCCGAGTATAAAAGACCCTCGGTGAACGTCAGAGATTCAAAGGGAGCAGCTGAAACGAGCAAAAGAGCCACACTGAGAAGAACCAACCATCTTTTTTTTTTATACGTTTCTGTGAGGGAGCTTCTACAACCAGATCTTAGGATGAAGTTCTACGAGTCCCCCACGACTCAGTCTATGGGTATCAAGACTTATGCCCAGAGCTGTGGTGTTCAAGTTGCCTGCAGGACTGCAGCCCCTCTGAAGCCAGTTCGGAGCGTCCACTTCCCCAATGACATCGTTTTCCAGGACTACGTGAAACACGGTGAGCTGGAGAGGATTGGACGTTTCATCCGGGCCAGGAGAGTCGAACTGGACACCATTTACACCTCCGGTAAGAAGCAGGAGCGTCCGCAGGGCCTCCACCGTGCGGTTCGTCTAAAATTACTGAACGATGAAACGTCTGTTTACTCCAGGCATGGCAGCCATCCACGAGGCCGTCCTGTCTGGGAACCTGGAGTGCGTGAAGCTGCTGATTCGCTACGGAGCAGACGTCCACCAGAGAGACGAGGAGGGGTGGACCCCGCTCCACATGGCCTGCAGCGACGGGTTCCCACACATTGCACGGTACCGGCAGTCCCAACTGAAAACTCCAGGTTGAACTCGAGTTAAACTAGAACCAGCTTTGAGCAGCTGCTGACACGATCTCCATGATCTGCTGCAGTCTTTACGGACCCGCCATGTCAAAGACTGAGAGGGGGGGGGGATCACGATATGACCCACAACGCAACAACTAATCAATCGCTAGACAATCCTGAACAGACGCAACATCAGTCTGGTCTAAGATTATAAACATGGCTGGTAAAAGCCTAAATGTTGACTCTTTAAAAATATAATGTTTCAGGTCTTTGAAATTTTTAGTTTAAATATTTTCCTCTCATCGTGCAGCTTTGAAATTAAATGTGGATTTTGCAGCAACATGTGCAGCTCAGGGTGTTGATGCGTTGCACAACGCAGACAAAATTATTTAAAAAAACTTATAAAGCATTGAGAAACAGAATAATGAAAATCAATGGGATTTGGGGAAAACATGAGAAAATCCTCTTTTGGAGCTCAGCAGCTCTGACATCACAGTAAAAACATCAAAGTTTAAACGAGCCACCGAGAAATGGACTTTACATTTCTGAGCTGACGTTTTGAGATCTGCAACTATTTTCACACGATCACGGTTTAAGTTTTATTTTAGCTGGGGGGGTTTCTTCCACAGAATGAACCAGTTAGACCAATTTGAGCGGTCTAAACTTTTTACTCTTACAATTCCTTTTCTGTCTTATACACATTATTAGGGATGCACGATATTATCGGCATGGTATCCGTATCGGGTGATATTAACGATAAAGTTAAATATCGGCCATTCCATCAAAATAACTCACCGATATAAAAGATGCTGTTTACACCTATTATATATATATATACACACACCAGGTGTGTATATATATATGGCAGTTTTTGTATGACAACCCAGTGTGAAGGATGCCTGCAGCACCAGCACGTTATGACGTCACGCGTGCCGTTGAATTTAGATGTGTGAAAATTTACAAATTTGCACGAGTGTTATAGTGTTAGAGAGTAAATATCATGAATAAATTTGACATTAAACATAATCCAAGTTTAAGTATTGCATCATTTTCAGACCCCTTTTTGGCATCTGCATTTGGTAGCAGTTAACTGACAGACTATGCAGAATAATGTACTTTAATTCCCCAGCAGAGAAAAAGCTGTGTCGTCTCTGTAAGTAGGTCTAGGGGGGAAAATATCAGTATTGGTATCGGACAAAAACCCAATATTGTGCATCCCTACAGATTACACATCAAAAACGAAGATATTTCTGTCTTCTTCCACTCCGTGCGTCTCTCGCTGCTGCAGGATTTATGGTTTTCTCTCAAATCCCCTCAGCGTCCAGAGGGCGAACCTAAAAGTGCAGATTTTGTTACATTATAAAACTTTCTCTTCAAACTGGATCTAAAAGCTCTTAACTTGTTGCATCTCCTATAGAAAACACTCCTGACTTAAATATCCATCTAACATTTCACCAAGAAAGTCTTCAGTCCCGTATGGCTCAAGAATTTTTAAGATCGGACTTTTAACTTTCACGCACAGACTCTTTGTTTGAGGCTTAGTTTTCAGTTTGCATTCTTGTCTGCCTCTCATTAACAGCAGTGGCAGATGCAGGTGTGTGGTCACCACGGTGACCGTAACGCTCCACAGGCAGCAGCTTTAACGTTTCTTTTAATATAGATCCTCCTTACATCTCTGCAGATATAATCAGTTTTATTTTAGCTTACATTTTTTATAAAGTGCAGTTGGACGTCGGCGCGTCAGCTGACGTGGACTCTTCCGAACGTTTTCAGATTTATTAAGACCACCATGATTAAATCTAGACCAAGATGACTAAAACTACTCTCTTCTGTTTCAGCTACCTCCTGTCGCTCGGTGCCGACCCCGAGCTGGAGAACGACTGCGGCGAGAAGCCAGCTGACCTCATCGAGCCGGACAACAAGGAGCTGCTGGAGCTGTTCGGGCTGGGGGCCAACGACTGAGCCCGGGGGGGGTCTCTGGAGCGGGACACTCGTCTGAGAGCTGCTGCAGCCGAACCCACAGCAGGGAGAAGAAGGCCACATCAGTCTGGGATCCTGGATTTAGGAGCTGGCTGAGCTCCGGAGGGGACACACTGGGGGGTGGGGGCATTTGGTGGAATGGGGGTGCCCGAGCCCCCTGATGGGAGAGCAGTGCCTCTGGATTCTCCAGCAGCAACAATCTGCTGGATCCTGTCGGAACGTTTGATTTCATTTAGCTGAGGCTCTGAATGAGACACGAAGCTGTTGAGCCTGATTTGTTGCTGATGCAGAATCAGGGTTTTGTCTTTTTAGTGACTTCCAAGTAACTTTAGCTAAAAACTAACAGATAAAATGTATGTAGCCTTTTGTCATTTTTAGCTATTGTTTTCCTACTAGCCTTTAGCTAACATTCTGCTTTTTAAGCATTTCATTACATTTTGAGTGTTTTGTTACTGTGAGCAAGCATTGGGCCATTTT